TTCAGCTGTGTGCCGTTTCATTTACAGGTGAATCCATACACAAAAGAAGAGGGAAGAACAATAGAATAGACTACAGGAAAAAATGTACATTTCTATTTCACGGGATTACTTAAAAATGTGATGACAATCACACTGAATAGATTTACTGTTTAAAGAATAAGGACACTGTTATATAGTAAAAACAACAACAACATATTTAACACTTTTTTTTTTAAATGTGCTTCTCTTTTTCAAAAGGAAATTATGGATAATTCCTGCTTGATCTTGTGACAAATTGTGTATTTGCATGTTCCTGGTGTGAATGTGTTTTAAAATGAGCAGGACTTTATAGTAATGTGGCTGAATATTTAAGATATTGAAAATTTGAATAGGCCTAACAACTGAATGTGTTTGAATTGTGATACCAGCAGAGGGCAACCAAATGTAACTGCATTTACAAGAACATTTTGTTAAAACATTTTTAAGGTAAAATGTATTAGTGACATGGGTTTGTTTACACGTTATGATGATCTTAACAAATCTGCTTTACATAGGCTACCATTACTGATTTTTACACATGTAATTATTATGTAGCCTATATAATGATGTAATAATTAAACTTAATTTACTTTCTTCCCCCCCACAATTTTCAATGAAATGGGTGGAAGGGAATGATGAGGGTGGGTATAAAATAATTTAGTAAAAATAAATGCATGTACAAAATTCAAACTGATTTCCATAAATTTCACAAATCATCTTACTGTTACATCTAATGGAGGAAGTTATAACAAAAGCATTCTTTGTACTTGGTATTGATTTACACAGTTTAAAGATAACTATAGATTGAATAATTATATATTCAACCTTAATTTGTAGCAGATAAATGTGGGGAAATTATATCAAAGTCTATTGAACTGTTGTGAGAACAGTTTGATAGTAAAGTATGTGAAACTTGACTGATCTTTTCACCAACATAATCTCAATAAAGGCCTAATGATTTAAAGGCTTTCTCAGACCTCTCCCTTATAATGTCTCAGTAAATTATACATGTAATATAAGAAGATAGAACTAGAGCAGGGATCCTCAAATCTGGCCCATGAGATCCACTTTCCTGCAGAGTTTAGCTCTAACCCTAATCAAACACACCTGAGCATGCTAATCAATGTCTTCAGAATCATTCGAAAAGGGTTTGATCAGGGTTGGAGCTAAACTCTGCAGCGCATTGGACCTCCAGGGTAAGATTTGAGGAACCCTGAACTAGAGGGACGCACTGTTAGTGCTGAACAGGCGTGGAAAACAGTTGGCGATGCTTTACAGTTTCTGACTGGGGAGGAGGAGATTTGTCTTCATCCAGCATTGGATCTCTGCACACAACAGACCTCTACATACCACCGCCCTCTAAAACCTACAAATACAATACTTCAAACGAATGCCTCGACTTTTAATGAGTGCAATTTGACCAAAAAGGAAGAAGAGATGTGATAAAGTAAACTACAATTGCTGTTGCATCCATGAAGAAAATCCCAGCTGGCTGTAAACGGGTAAGAGCTCCAGATATGGCTTAAGCATTAAGTTTATGATTTGTTTAGCCAATTTTTTTTACATTTTTAATATGACTAATTTAAGTGTGTATGTGATTAGCTTTGTTAATCAGTAACCATTACTGCAAAATAAATTCACTAATTCTACTTTTAAAACGATAGATTGCACTTGTAATTTAAGCTTAAAACAAGATCTGCTTCCCGTAATTATTGCTGTTTATAAAGGCTTACATAATTGTTTTTGTAATTGAATGCATTACAAAATCTAACATAAAACAATGTATGTGCATGTCTCTATTATGAAGTAATTTGAAATAATCCCCAGTCTGGTGTTCACCCTCGGCGCCTTTGTCCTTTAAACCCATTCATTGGCTCCGGGTCCATATCCACATGCATGTTTATGAGTTCTGAGGCTAAGATCCAGACACCAGATGCCATGACACTATCATTTCTGAATGTTTCATATGTCTCACTCCACCCACTTGGACCACTTTCTTCCCATCAGGCAAATCTGAGAGTCCTGAGAAAGAGTAGGCTACTCCCTTCTGTTGTACAGATGTGTCTAGGGTAACCATTAAGAGCACATCTGTTCAGCTCTACAGCGCTGTCGAAGTGAGTCCAGCTACATTTTAATTGCTAAATATGATCTCTGAAAGCATGCAGTATAAGATGTTAAATGCCATAGTCAGTTAATAATTAATAGTCAAACAGTGCATTGATTAAAATATGGTCGGATGGATTTGGGCCAGTAGAATGAGTAGTTTTTGAAACCACTTTAAAACTGTGCAGTCATTCTTACACTGTTATGTACTTGGGTTTTATGACTTTGACTGATTTAAATGCAGCTGTGCTCTGTGTCTTTTGTTGGTCAACCACAATGTTTATAATCTTGGGAGTTCTTCCTTCTAACATGCCAAGACACCTGCAACAAACTAAATGTCAACAAATGCTACATGTCACATTAGTGATAAACTAGTATATTAAAATATGCATTATTGTATCCACACGTACAAAGTCAAACTCTCTACTGAAGTGCAGCGGCTCAATGGCTGGCAAAGAAATGAAGAACAGAGGTGGTAAATGTCTGAAGGAAGTTCATACAGTTACTGAAGCTCTGAAGACCCTCTACCGGCAAAAACTGCTCCCGCTGGAGAAGTATTATGACTTCTCCGATTTCCACTCATCAGGCCTTGAAGATGCAGATTTTGACAACAAGCCCATGATACTAGTGGTGGGTCAGTGCTCTACAGGCAAGACCACTTTTATCAGGTGAAAATTGCTATAATGGCATCTAGCTTCAGAACAGTATACACAATAAGTGCTGTACAAATAAATTAACTTCAAAAGTTTGTTACATGTCAATTAATTGACTACATAAAATTAAAAGCATACTAGCATTATACAGTGGTGGCCAAAATTATTAGAACACTAGTATTTTCAACAGGTAAAAATGGTTTTGAGTCAGTTATTTCTATATTTGTGACCCTGGACCACAAAACTGGTCTTAAGTGGCAATTTTTTAAAAGCTTTCCATTGATGGTTTGTTAGGATGGGACAATATTTGGCCGAGATACAACTATTTGAATATATGGAATCTGAGGGTGCAAAAAAAAAAATGGAGAAAATCGCCTTTAAAGTTGTCCAAATGAAGTCCTTAGCAATGCATATTACTAATCAAAAATGAAGTTTTGATATATTTACGGTAGGGAATTTACAAAATATATTCATGGAACATGATCTTTACTTAATATCCTAATAATTTTTAGCACAAAAGGAAAAATCTATAATTTTGACCCATACAGTGTATTTTTGGCTATTGCTACAAATATCCCCGTGCAACCTAAGACTGGTTTTGTGCTCCAGGGTCACATTTTGCTGTAGTGTGTCAGTAGGAAATATCAGTTTACATGTCTAAACATTCATTTTGCCAAAGACTCCTTGTGCAAACAAAAATCTCACTGGATTATTACATTTAATGACAAAATGAATGTTTGGAAATGTAAACTGATATTTTCTACTGACACACTACAGCAAAAGATAGAAAATACTAGTGTTCTAATAATTTTGGCCACCCCTGTAATCATAATAGCATTAAGATTAATTTCACATCTGTATCCAGGTAATCTGTAATCTCTCAAGAAATGTCTGGGTCATGTTTCACCCTAATTTGTCTCTTATGTGTGGCAGATATCTTCTTGAACAAGAGTATCCAGGAAGCCGTATAGGCCCAGAGCCCACAACTGACAGTTTTACTGCCATAATGCATGGAGAGATTGAGGGAATTATTCATGGCAATGCTTTAACTGTTGATCCCAACAAGCCTTTCCGCAAACTCAGCCCTTTTGGAACAACCTTCCTCAATCGGTGAGAGACAGAAGCAATAACGCAATAAGAAATACAAATCACAGGGGGAGAAGTATGTTGAATTTGGACTGAAAGAGTCAAAATGAATCCGCCAGCAGAAATAACTCCTGTGAAAGGGTGGACATAGCCAAGAGAGGGAAACATTAGCTAATGCATAATTATTTGGCTCAGCTGACTGCATCCCTTTAAGAAAAACATCTGTGGATGGGTTTTTCCCATGTTATGTCAGTTTTTAAAGATACTGAATTTGCATGAAACTTTTTCAGATTCCAGTGTGTGCATCTGCCCAACCAAGTCCTGGAGAGTATCAGCATCATTGACACACCAGGGATCCTGTCTGTGGCCAAACGCAAAATGAGCAGAGGTACAAAGTGTCATAAACAGTGCTGGAAGCAGCTAATTAAGAAATAAAACGACTTGCATGCATATCATAATATGCAACCTTAGCCTTCTTTTATACTTAATGTGTAAGTACATTCAATAAAACATATTTGGCGTCTGTGGTTCCACAAAGAACCTTTAACATCCATGGAACCTTTTAAAAGGTTCTTTATAGTGGAAACGGTAATTCAGATTATTAAAATTCTTCTATGGCATCACTGCAAAAAACCCCTTTGGAACCTTTTGTTTTTAAGAGTGTGAAAAAGTGGATTTGAATTTCTTCTCACTGATGTCACCCTTAAAAGACTGCAGTGCCCTTTTGGTGCGCGGTATGTGACACTAAAGTGTCTCATATATCTGATCCAACACCTGTGAATTTCTTCAACATCTTATTCTTCTTTCAGGGTATGACTTTCCATTGGTCATCCGTTGGTTTGCAGAGCATGTTGACCGCATCATCCTCTTGTGTGATGCACACAAACTAGAGATCTCTGATGAGTTTTCACACACCATAATGGCATTGCGAGGCAATGAGGACAAGCTCAGAGTGGTGCTCAACAAGGCTGACATGGTGGACTCCCAGGAGCTGATGCGAGTCTATGGCGCACTCATGTGGTCACTCGGCAAGGTGTTCTGCACACCAGAGGTTCTGAGGGTCTACATTGGCTCCTTTTGGTCCTCTCCAATGCGTATGACAGACAATCGAAAACTGTTTGAGCAAGAAGAGGAAGACCTTTTTGCAGACATTCAGAACCTGCCACGAAATTCTGCACTGAGAAAACTCAATGATCTGGTGAAGCGAGCACGACTTGTGAGGGTGAGGACCATTGTGCTTTCCACTCTTGATTTGGTTCCATGAAATCACAAGTGAACTTCAGTAACTATTAAACCATGTCCGTTAGTTTTGAGGTCATCTAAATGTTAGTGTATTCAGAAACGTTGACAAAGTTGTCATTGTCTTTCTCTTCTAGGACAAAAATAAATAAATAATTGCGACACATCAACATTCAACAACAGTCTTTCTCTTCTAGGAAAATGAATCAAAAATAATTTTGACACGTCTACATACCACCTACTTTGACTACTGATATAAAGTAGCAAATCATGATGTGACTTCAAACTAAACTTTATTAGCTTTTTGAATTAAAAATGGAACCTCCTGTTTCAAATAAAGCAAACTGGGAACAGATATTCATCAATGTTTGTATGTGAATAAAAGTATAAATTAAATCTGTTTACCATATACAGAAAATGTATATCCTTACATATCTTACATATCTCTACATATCTTTAAATATCTTCATTTGTTGTTTCGAAGATAAACTAAAGTCTTATGGGTTTTGAATGACATGAGGGTGAGTAAATGACAGAATTTTAATTTTTCCATCTCTTATTTAATATGCTGTATCTCTACTACTGTACACAATATGTGCTTTTATTTGAGAATGCAAGTGGTACATTCAATAAAAAATATTTGGCGTCTGTGGTTCCACAAAGAACCTTTAACATCCATGGAACCTTTTAAAAGGTTCTTTATAGTGGAAACGGTAATTCAGATTATTAAAATTCTTCTATGGCATCACTGCAAAAAAACCCTTTGGAACCTTTTGTTTTTAAGAGTGTGAAAAAGTGGATTTGAATTTCTTCTCACTGATGTCACCCTTAAAAGACTGCAGTGCCCTTTGGTGCGCGGTATGTGACACTAAAGTGTCTCATATATCTGATCCAACACCTGTGAATTTCTTCAACATCTTATTCTTCTTTCAGGGTATGACTTTCCATTGGTCATCCGTTGGTTTGCAGAGCATGTTGACCGCATCATCCTCTTGTGTGATGCACACAAACTAGAGATCTCTGATGAGTTTTCACACACCATAATGGCATTGCGAGGCAATGAGGACAAGCTCAGAGTGGTGCTCAACAAGGCTGACATGGTGGACTCCCAGGAGCTGATGCGAGTCTATGGCGCACTCATGTGGTCACTCGGCAAGGTGTTCTGCACACCAGAGGTTCTGAGGGTCTACATTGGCTCCTTTTGGTCCTCTCCAATGCGTATGACAGACAATCGAAAACTGTTTGAGCAAGAAGAGGAAGACCTTTTTGCAGACATTCAGAACCTGCCACGAAATTCTGCACTGAGAAAACTCAATGATCTGGTGAAGCGAGCACGACTTGTGAGGGTGAGGACCATTGTGCTTTCCACTCTTGATTTGGTTCCATGAAATCACAAGTGAACTTCAGTAACTATTAAACCATGTCCGTTAGTTTTGAGGTCATCTAAATGTTAATGTATTCAGAAACGTTGACAAAGTTGTCATTGTATAGTCTTTCTCTTCTAGGAAAATGAATCAAAAATAATTTTGACACGTCTACATACCACCTACTTTGACTACTGATATAAAGTAGCAAATCATGATGTGACTTCAAACTAAACTTTATTAGCTTTTTGAATTAAAAATGGAACCTCCTGTTTCAAATAAAGCAAACTGGGAACAGATATTCATCAATGTTTGTATGTGAATAAAAGTATAAATTAAATCTGTTTACCATATACAGAAAATGTATATCCTTACATATCTTACATATCTCTACATATCTTTAAATATCTTCATTTGTTGTTTCGAAGATAAACTAAAGTCTTATGGGTTTTGAATGACATGAGGGTGAGTAAATGACAGAATTTTAATTTTTCCATCTCTTATTTAATATGCTGTATCTCTACTACTGTACACAATATGTGCTTTTATTTGAGAATGCAAGTGTGATTCTCTTGAAGGTCACATGAGTATGACAGACAATCGAAAACTGTTTGAGCAAGAAGAGGAAGACCTTTTTGCAGACATTCAGAACCTGCCACGAAATTCTGCACTGAGAAAACTCAATGATCTGGTGAAGCGAGCACGACTTGTGAGGGTGAGGACCATTGTGCTTTCCACTCTTGATTTGGTTCCATGAAATCACAAGTGAACTTCAGTAACTATTAAACCATGTCCGTTAGTTTTGAGGTCATCTAAATGTTAGTGTATTCAGAAACGTTGACAAAGTTGTCATTGTCTTTCTCTTCTAGGACAAAAATAAATAAATAATTGCGACACATCAACATTCAACAACAGTCTTTCTCTTCTAGGAAAATGAATCAAAAATAATTTTGACACGTCTACATACCACCTACTTTGACTACTGATATAAAGTAGCAAATCATGATGTGACTTCAAACTAAACTTTATTAGCTTTTTGAATTAAAAATGGAACCTCCTGTTTCAAATAAAGCAAACTGGGAACAGATATTCATCAATGTTTGTATGTGAATAAAAGTATAAATTAAATCTGTTTACCATATACAGAAAATGTATATCCTTACATATCTTACATATCTCTACATATCTTTAAATATCTTCATTTGTTGTTTCGAAGATAAACTAAAGTCTTATGGGTTTTGAATGACATGAGGGTGAGTAAATGACAGAATTTTAATTTTTCCATCTCTTATTTAATATGCTGTATCTCTACTACTGTACACAATATGTGCTTTTATTTGAGAATGCAAGTGTGATTCTCTTGAAGGTCACAAGATATGAAATGTGTGAAAGGTTTCTTTTTGAGAAAACAAAATACACTTTGTGACTAATGTAGTAGCTGTGATTGAAATCGGTCTGCATCCACCTGCTTGTTTTGTTTCAGTCAGTTGATATAGTCCTACTAAATAATTAATCTGGCTTCTCTTATTTCTTTTCTTCACCCACAGGCCCATACTTATATCATTAGCTCTCTAAAAGAAGAAATGCCTTTAGTTTTCTGCAGAGAAAAGAAGAAGAGAGATCTAATCTATGACCTTCCTATCATCTATTCAAGAATCCAACAGAGATCTCAGATTTCACCTGGCGATTTTCCAGATTGTGCCAAGATGCAGGTGTCCAGATACTTTACAATCAAGCATGCCCATTGTGAAATGCATTTTCTGCCACTATGTGCATGAGAGTTCAAATTGAGCAAACATATATGATATCTGTCTGATAAGCATCTTAATTCTTACATCCCACACAGGAGCGACTCATGAGTCATGACTTCAAGTTTAAAGCCCTCAAGCCTAAACTCTTAGCAGGGCTGGATGAGCTCCTAAACGCAGACATAGCCAAGCTAATGCCACTTCTGCGCCAAGAAGAAGAAGAAACAGCTGACCGACTTTTAGTGCAAGGAGGACTTTTTCTAGGGTCACAAAGGGGACCTTTTATTGTGGGCAACCCATTTAATCACTATGGATCCAATGGAGAAAGTGATCATGTCTCAGATGAAGAATGGGTGGTATCAAAAGATAAACCAAAGTATGATGAGATCTTTTACAACCTCTCGCCTCATGAGGGAAAGCTGAGTGGGTCTAAAGTGAAGGGCTGGATGATGAGCACTCATCTGCCTAGCTCAGTTCTAGGACGAATCTGGAAGCTCGCAGATGTGGACCATGATGGCATGTTAGACGATGAAGAGTTTGCTTTGGCTGGCCATCTCATTGAGGTAAAGTTGGAGGGCTTTGGGCTCCCTCATGAGCTACCTGCGCAACTGGTGCCACCATCCAAAAGATTGCGCAAGAACTCCGGCACAGAGATTAGAGACAATAATGATTAGCCTGCATATCTTAATGTTTATGATGACAGTGTTTATTCAACATTTAAGTCATTAATAATATTAAACGAATGTATTCACTCATATAATACCTAAAATCACTTATTGCTTGCAAAGTTTGGATGTATAAATCCTCCATAGACAGAAAAAATCTCAAAAGACAAGTTGTTTTGATGGTTCAGATTGCCCAAGGGTTGAGAACAGCTTGTTCTGTGAAACCTGTTTGGCTGCAGAAACGCCCTCGGGACTGTTGCTATGAGGCACACGAATGTCAACACTTAAAAGTGCCTTATGGCATTTCAAATACTATTTGTCAAGTGAAATTTTGTTTGTTCAAAAAATTGTTGATCAATAAGTAATTAAACTTATATGGTAGAGCTCTTTGTGTGTTCATGACCTGTAGCAAAATATTTTCGGTAACACTTTAGAATAATGGTCCGTTGTTAACAAGTAACTATGCAGGAAATAATAGGAAGTACTACATTAACACTTAACTTAATACTATTAACTAATAGAGAAGCAAGATTAACTAAGCAGTAAGTAGTAGCAAATTTAGGACAAAGGTGGTTGCTTATTAGATATTTGATAATTACTAAAAAAAAATATCCTCATTGAGAACTACTTGCGAACTATGACCAGTTAATAAAGAATAACCAATTAATTACTAATCACAACAGTAACGTCTTAAAAGTGAACAATGGGGTTCTTTGTGGAAACTAATTTATGAATATGATATCCCCCAAATAAGTTGGCTACAGGTTGAAATTGTGACTACTACTCTTACCAAAGGATGGATGTTCTCTGTTTATTTCAAACAAAAACATAAAATAATAATACAAATAATTAATTTAAAAATGTTAATAATTAGGAAGTGATTGAATTAGTTCACAATTATGAGCTCTAGTGTGTGTCAGTTCAGTATGTCTCCGACTCCAAAAGATCTGTACCTTTAGTGACAGTAGGCTGGGGAGGACTTTTCTTGAATATAAAATATAAATAATGATGTTCTCTTGACAAAAACAATTCACATCCTTAATCATGGCATCGACTGCATTTATATTGTGTTAAGCACAAAACCGCATATTCCAGATTACAGAGTCTGGTAAAATATCACTAGTGAATTTAATAAGTTATTTAACATATTTTATATCTGACATACTGTACAGTCATACATTTGTGTGAAGCACTAGGGATATTTTACCAGTAGGTCTTTTGGAGTGGGATACATTGATACATATTGAACTGAGACGAAGCAGAGATCATAATTGTGAACCAATTCAATCATGAGCTTGTCAGCATCACTTCTTAATTATTAACATTTTTAAGTGAATTTTTATTATTATTCTATGTTTAAGTTTGAACATCCGTCCTTTGGTAAGAGTAGTAGTCACAATTTTAAAATGTAGCCGACTTATTTGGGGGATATCAAATTCATAAATTAGTTTCCACAAATAACCCAATTGTTCACTTTTAAGACGTTACTGTTGTGATTAGTAATTAATTGGTTATTCTTTATTAACTGGTCATAGTTCACAAGTAGTTCTCAATGAGGATATTTTTGTTTAATAATGATCAAATATCTAATAAGGAACTACCTTTGTCATAAATTTGCTACTAACTGCTTAGTTAATCTTGCTTCTCTATTAGTTAATAGTATTAAGTTAAGTGTTAATGTAGTACTACCTATTACTTCCTGCATAGTTACTTGTTAACAACGGACCATTGTTCTAAAGTGTTACCATATTTTTTTTTAGCATATTGTGGGATGTTACTTTGTAGAGGCTGTATATTATTATATGTAATAATGACTGACAACTATAACATGTACAACAGATCTATTCAGGAAACCTATGAACTGATGAATATCAATATTTCCATATAAGGATATATATATATTATATTATATATTCCATATAATATTTCAATATAAGTTCATTTACTGCAGAATAAAATGTCAAGTCCTAAACTGCCTGTTAAGAAAATGACCGGCTGATTGCAAACAAACTGTAAACTGACATAATTGTGTAACTTTACTGAAAATGCCTTTGTTTGGTAAACACTCTTAGCTACAGGGGGGTGTACCGGAAGTACATAAAATCTCTCGAGGGGTGCGCCACTTGCCCCGCCTCAAATCTTTCATAACAGTCCAGGAAACAGCATTAAAATATTTTCCAGAACCGAAAGCAATTCGCCCAGTTCAGCGTCTGCACTCGCCACAACACAACCACCGCTTGATCCAGTCAAGAACCGCAGCGACTGTCAGCAACATGACCGTCAAAGTTCGTATCATTTACTGGTAGGTCATTGTGCTGTGTATTTCGACTCGCTGTTGAGGCTAAATTCAGCTATTCGCCTTTTAATGTTTTTAAGAATCCAAATGACTGACTTAAACTACACGCCAAAATTGAACTTTTTCGAAAAAACAAAAAACTAAATCTATTAACAGATTAAAGCTTTTAATTTTTGTCAGGCAACAATCACGACAAGCACAGGCAGCGTTGCTGTTGTTGTTCTGGTTGCTCACGAACACCCGTGCGTTTCTGTTTAGCAGCATTGTTCAGTTGAATTGTTTGGTTTCCAGCATAGATTTAATCTTTTCTCTTTACATGTTCGCGAGCCATGTCTTGTAGATTACAAGATTGGATTCAGGAAGGTTACTGTAAATAAATGCATTCCTCATTCACTGGATCTCTCTTTTCACGAAAAGTCCCATAGGTTAAAAACATGCATAGTTGCATAGTTACCATGCAAATGACTGTTTGTCCAATGAGGTGAATGTTATTTAAATAATTGTGTGTGTGTGTGTGTGTGTGTCATCTCCTAGTGGTGGATGAGGGTACAGGCCCAAGGTAAGTTTTATTTACTCACATTATCAACACAGAACATAACATAACTTGTGGGAGAATCTTGTCCAGCTATATGTCTCTTCTGTTTTGCGAACAGTTCACCAAACTCAAGACGTTGCTTGAGGATGAATTCCCAGGCGAACTTGAGATCGTATGTGTTTTTGATGATTGTCATTTGTTTATAATGTTGTCATTTTGAAAACAAAAACTGTATTGTTAAATGTGAATGTACGGAAGCTCAACGTATTTTCTTATAATTATGTTTCTAATTTTATCATCATTTCCCATCCTCAGACCGGTGAGGGCACACCCTCAACCACAGGCTGGTTTGAGGTGGAGGTAAACAACAAGTTGGTGCACTCAAAAAAGGTAAGAGTGAATCTTCTTTCACTGTTTTTACTTTCAAAGATCACAGTTTTATATATTGCACTTACCATAATGTGGCAGATGTTGCCTTCATACGGTTTCTCACTTAGATTTCACTTGTTTGTTCTATTTATAAACGGTTCTATTTCATTCTTTCTGACCGCCAGAGGCAGTGCTTCACACTGAATGTTATCTCATCGCAGATGCACAGGTCGAGTCTAATACAAACATAGTCCTTCGTGGCCAGGATGACTCGGGGGTCCTCCCCTATTTAACCCCCTGACTTCCTGCAGACTGCCCCTGTAATCTTCTCGCGTGCATGTATTACAGGTCAGAAAATATTAAAGGGGTCATATGATGCTTTTTTAAAGATCATTATTTTGTGTATTTGGTGTAACAGAATATGTTGAGTGTTGACATGCTTTAATATTCAAAAAACACATTATTTTTCAAATACTGTACATTATTGTAGGTCCTCTATGCCCCGCCTCTCTCAAACGCTTCGTTTTCTACAAAGTCCCTCCTTCTGACAAGCGCAGTCTGCTCTGATTGGCCAGCTGACCCAGTGCATTGTGATTGGCCGAACACCGCAAGCACTCGTCGGAAATGTAACGCCCCTTACCATAATCGCGAGCTTCATCTTTCAAAATAAATGCAAAGACAGCCCGAAAGGGGAACAGAGTCGCGTAACAGACACCGTGATGAAGCTGGTATTTGTGCAGTACACAAGCCACGGTTAAGACGGCTGACTCCACTGTGATCTCTCTCTCTCTCTCTCTCTCTCTCTCTCTCTCTCTCTCTCGCGCACGCACACACACACACACACAC